ACTTGTCATCACGGCATCAGAGGCCACTGCATCTGCTCTGGCCGAAAAAGCATAGAATCTAGCTGGAGTGCCGGCTGGCTGGCCTCCACCTGAGTGAACAATAGCTGGCTGACCTCCCTCTGCCTGGCCTCCACCTCTAGGACGGCCCCTACCAGCCTGTCCCCTACCTCTAGGCGGTCGGATGGCTGGTGCTGCAATCATGGGCTGATGACCCTACTGTACTACCTTACCCCGAAGTCTGGGACAAGTTCTCTTCAGGTGACCTGGATCTCTACACTCGTAACAACCTCTCGGTACCATAGACTGCTGCCCTATAGTCTGACCCTGGTGGCCTGAATACCCACTAGAAAAACCCTGAATGGCTAGAATGCGTCATGAACTCTTTGGCATGGCACTGAAATAGGGCCGCGCTGGAGCACCCCGAGGAGGTGGTGGTGGTGCTGGATATGTGGTCCTGCTAGGCTAACCCCTCCCAAACTGATCTCTTCCCCTAGCCGGGGCACCTCTGAACTCTCTAGTGAATCGGGTCCTCTTGTCCTGCTTCATCTACTCCCTACCCCTCTGGCGGTAGCCCTCAATCCTCCGAGCAATCTCCACCACTAGCTGATAATCAGTACCCATCTCAACCTCCCGGGCCATACTAGCCCGAATACTGGGGTGCAACCCCGCAATAAATCTCTGCGCTCTCTCTACGTCCGTAGGAAGTATCATAAGTGCATGGCGAGACAACTCAGAAAATCTCGCCCCATAATCGGTCACAGACATCTAACCCTGCTCGAGCTGATCAAACTGACACCGCAACTCTTCCCTCTGGGAGGTGGAATATACCTATCCAAGAAAAGCCGCATAAACTGGTCCCAAGTCATGGAAGGAAAACCTACTGGCCTGCCGAGAAGATAAGACTGCCACCAGCTGCGGGCCCTGCCCTCCAACTGGAAAGTAGTGAAATCCACCCCATGCGACTCTAATATTCTCATGTTGTGCAGTCTGTCCCTGCACCTATCAATGAAGTCCTGGGGATCCTCATGCCGCTCACCTCCGTAGACAGGAGGGTGTAGCCTAGTCCATCTGTTCAAGAACTTCTACAGCTCGTTGACCGCAACTGATCTATGCTTAGGTACAACAACTGTAACTGGCCGGGCTCCGCCCACGGGTAGTGTACCTGGAGTCGAATATACTACAGTTTAAGGCTCAAAAACGGGCCGGGCCCAGGCTTCGTGGGCCGGGCTTAAACAGTCCTGGGCTTTGTGGGCTTTTGGAGTTAGCCGGACCAGGACCAGGACCACGAACTAACGGTCCCAGGCTAAGTGGGCCGGTCCCGGGCCTATGTGGGGCTAAGTGGGCCTGACCTATTTTTTTAATTTTTTATCTAAGGCAATTTCTTGTAAATTATATAGCTTAGTTGTGACTTAAAATTTTTTAATTCAAATTTAAAACACAAAATATTGTAAAAAGATATTCAAAGGAATGCGTTATAATTTTTATTATTATGACATTGACAAAACATGGCCCAATCTTTCTTAGTCACCCCCACCCCCCAATGGAATGAGCACAACAAGGTGCTAATACCACCATTGAGAAGAAAAAGAAACTAATCAAGATGTGCCAAAATATAAGTTAAAAATTAATTTTACATGGTATCTCTTACAAATTTCATAAATCCTTCAAGGTTCGGAAGAATTTTCGTTGGTGGTGGTGGAAAAGAAGCTTGTTCATCACCGCTTTCGGGCGAAGCTGCATCCCCCGCAAGTTCAGCTAGCATTTCTTAGTAAGCTTCGTCTACCTCTGGTTGTGATTCTGCAAGTCCAAAATTTCTTCGTTCCAAACGGATCCAATCTCTGAAAAGTACTGATTTTTCCAAGCACTCCCTCATAGACGCTCTATAATCACCGAGTTGAGGTCTTGCTTGACTGAAAGCGCTCTCCGATGCCATTGTTGAAGCTTGAATGGTTAAAATGTCTCGGGTCATCCTTGAAAAGATCGGAAAGTGCTTTTCTTTGTCCTTCCACCATTCTAAAAGATTAAATGAGCCGTCGGGATTCACTTCCTCAAGTCCATGTGGCAAATAAACTTCAAGCTCATTTAGTTGTGAACAATCACAGTGCTACAACCTTGAGAACCCCTGAACCCGGTCCAAGCAGTAAGTGCTCTTACTCCTACAGTTCTTTTAGATGATTGAGAACTAGAAGAAGAAGGAGTTGGAACATTTGGTCTAGCATTATCTATTGCAATTTGATAAGCACTACAAATAGTTAGAGCATTTATTTTAATTGAGGCTTGTGCGTCCGAAAGTGTAGACAACTCCTCATCTTCAAGTGCTAAACCATTACAAATAGATTGATACCAATAATGAGGACCTCCTAATTTCATAGTAGTATTTACCAAGGCAACAACACCATAAATAGGGGGAATAGGGAAAAAAATATTTTTTAAATTTCTTTCTCATAGAATCAATAGCTTCTTTATAGATTTCCCCACCCTCTGAAAAATAAGCAAACAAATTTGCAAGTTCTACAAGATAAACTAAACAGTTAGAAATAGTAGGATAATATTGCCCAGAAAAGTCATTTGTAGCAACATGAAATCTTTCTAAAAAATCTACAAGCATTTTAACATTAGCCCAGTCCGCATTTGTAAGGTGCTCATCATCATCACTTACATGAGCATTAAACGTTGAGTTTATGGGGTTTCTATATTTATATGCAACAACTAAACTTTCATACATGTAATTCCATCTAGTTGGACAAGCTTTAGGAACCTTTCTTTCTCTTAGGCCAAATTCATCGCATCTTTTAAAATATTCTCTAAGTCTACTTCTACGGTTTGGATAAAAAAGCCAGTTAAGAGCCATTTTAACCTTTTCAATTCCAACATTTAAAATTCTCATACCATCACCCACAATTAAATGGTAAATATGACAAATACATCTAACAATAAAAATGTTACTAAATGCAGGATTTAGTGTAGTGGTAAGCAAGGCTACAACATTAGTGTTACTAGTAGCATTATCCATTGAAATTGACATTATTTTATCACTAATGCAAAAATATCTACAAATATCCGTAATCGTGCTAGAGATAAACTGCCCTGTGTGACGTGAATTAATTACTCTATAAGCAATAATGCGCTTTTGCATTATCCAGTCCTCATCAATCCAATGACTTGTAACAGTAGGATAATCACAGTCATTACAACCTTTACCAATATCAGTAGTAATAGCAACACGACAATTAATATGAGTAAATAAATAGCGCAAATATTATTCATATTCATGTTTATATTTATAAATATCGCTCTTATCGCTCTTTACGGTTGTGCGAGACCATCCTTTATAAGTAGGATTAAAAACTTTTCTAATATAATGCACAAATTGAGGGTTGGACGGAAAACTGTAGAGTAAGCACATAACAGTAACCATTTTGCCAATTCTTCCCTATCTTTTCTTGGATCATAATATAAAATACCATCGGTAACGGTGTTAATTCCCGATTGAAATTGATTTGACCCGGTACTAGGGTCAGGCTGACTAGGTAGACTTGTCCCCCCGGCCGCAACTTTCATTTGATGATATTTAACTTTATCTTGAGGGTGTATCATTATGCGTCTCCTCAAACTTCCCGTCCCCCCCTCCCCCCAGCCCCCCGAGTAACATAGTTAAAAGCTAACTCTTTGCCACAAGTTTTATATTTAGCTTTATTTTTTTCTCTTATTTAAATAAAAAATGGCCAAACAAGAGATGTTTTGGCCCATTTAGAAGGTTGTCTAGAAAAAGTAGGGGTAGTAACAGGGGTCAACCGGGGCATCATTTGGATTAGTTGGGTTTACTTCAGCAACAGAACTATTGGGTGTATCGTCATCCGGTTGCGTTTCATTCAAATCTATTTCCTGCTCATCTTCTTCATCAATATTTGGATTACCATAAAGAGAATTCATATATTCATGATCTAAGTGTTCACCACCTCCAACATTATGCACATATTGACTCTCAGTAAATTGTAATAAAGTATTATCACTATCAAGAATAGGAGCAGGTGGAGGGCGGGTATGGGGTTTGGGTACGGAAGCCCGGGGAATTAGAGGAGGAATAGATTGGCCACTAGATTCACCACTCTTGTATTTTCCCTTATTTTTACTAAACATTTTCAAAGGAATAGGCCATCTTAATTATAATTATACAAAGTAAATAAAACAAACAAAACTATAATATTAAAACTAAAGAGTTGGAACGAGTTTACTGAATTGACGAACAACTTGTTGAAAATTAATTATCGTTGAAGACTTGAAGACTTGAATACTTCAATTCACCAACTTCACAATTTTTCACACAAATCGCAAGAAAAAATTAACCAATTATAGAAGAAAATTAGAGAGATATTGAGAGAGATTGATGATTTTGTGAGAAAAATGAAAGAATGAGGGGGTATTTATAGTTGAAAATAGGGAAAAAGTGTAATTATAAAAAGTTTGGGGTTAAAAAAAAGTTGGGGGGGAGGGGGGTTAATGGCTATTTTACAAATCCCAAACGACTATTTTTGCAGGCCAACGGCCATATATTAAATCCCCAAACGGTCAGAATTTTTTTGGAATTTTTTTTAATAATATAGCCGTTGGGCCCGTTTGAGCCCGTTTGGGACCGGTTAGGACCGGTTGAACCAGCCCACTTAGCACTCGGTCCCGGGCCCAAACGGTCCGGTCCTAACGGGCTTTTTGGCTTAACCGGCCCACTTAGCAGGCCCACCCCCATGGTCCCCGTCTTAAACGGTTAGGCCCGTTTAGGCCCACTACCCATATGGGCTCGCGGGCTTGGGCCGGGCCCGGGCCTAACCGACCCACATGCCAGCCTTACTGCAGCTGCATGCCCCGGAGTCTAAGCAGTACGGGTCTATGCTCCCCCTCCCGCTTGAGATGTGGCGGGGTCTGCTGGAAATAAACCAGCCTGGGTCATAGAATCCATGAACCGCAGCATACGGCCCATGACCTCCTGAAAGCCCGATGCTGACATGAAATCTACCGGGGCTAGCTCTGATGCGGGTACCTCGCCCTGCTCCTCAATGATGGGATCCTTTAATGGATCCCCTAGTGGTGCAACTGGGGCAACTATGGGACGTCCTCGTCCCCTACCTCGAGCCGGTGCCCTCCCTTGGCCTCTGCCTCAGCCTCTAGCAACGGGAGGAGCAGCTCCTCCCAGGTCCGGAACGTCTGCGGCGCGTATTCTCACCATCTATGAGATAATAAGAGAAAGGAACTTAGTATACCATCAACTGCACGATATGAGATGAATAAAGAGTAGTTTTCTAACACCCTATAGCCTCTCAAAGATAAGTACATACGTCTTCATACCGATTCGCAAGACTCTACCAGGTCTGCCATAACTTGAGAGACCTACGTGAACCTAGTGCTCTGATACCATGTTGTTAGGACCCGGTTTCAATTACAGGTCGTAATGGCGCCTAACACCGTTGTTAGGCAAGTCAACACTGATCGAACTAGTGGTTTCCTATTTAAATAAATTACTAAGTGGATAACATGTCCTCACTTGTTAAAAAGATTTAGAGGTTTGCAAACGTAACATAATTTCGACGGAAGCAAGTGGGTACAATTCAAAATCATGTAAACAAATCCAAAATCATAAGTCTACTAGTGTGTCTGCCAAGACCTGGTGTCATAAGTATGTGGGCATTTTAGTAGAATATACAAAAGAATACTAACCTACTGTCCGAAAGGAAACAGACAGAAAAGGATAACATAAATAAGACTCCAGCTGCTGTAGAACAACTCAGAAGGTAGCTCACCGTGAAGTCTCAAAATGGGGATCAAATCTGCGTGCCGGACTGGTGACCAGATGCACCTGCCTCAAATCCTGTACAATTAAGTACAGAAGTGTAGCGTGAGTAAATAAAAATATGTACCCAGTAAGTATCTAGTCTAACCTCGAAGAAGCAGTGACGAGGGGTCGACTCTGACACTTACTAAGGGCCAACAATATAATATTATGAAATTCTAATTAAGCAAGGTATATAGAGATAACAACTAAACTCAGAACACAAAATCACTGAACAATTCTTTCATCATATTTAAGAACCCAAAACACTTCCTTCATTTAAAACAATGATCTTTCAAACAATGAATTTATACAAGTTATAAAAAGGGCTTCCAATTCAATTATCACACGCAAATTCCACCAAGGACGTTCGGCCCGCTCCAACATAAATGTAAATTGTGCATTGCCGAGGGTCAAACGGCATGAACCAAAGATGCATCTATTACCCCGCTCGTGAATCATACGTACGACGCGGTCAAATATAAATTTATCAATAAATCATAACCCTTTCTTGATTCTTTTAAAAATAAAGACAATTCAACTTGAAGCTCTTAAATCCTTGAAAATCCTCAACTTAGTTCCATTTGTTAAAATTAACAATTATAATCAAACAACGGTGTCCACAAAGCATGGTGTAAACCTAAAACTACCCGGACATAAATAGGAATAGTAGCTACGTACGGACTCTCGTCACGTCGTACGTATGTAGCCCCCAAAATTAACAACACATATTAATTTAGTTCACCTATGGGGTTAATTCCCTCTTACAAGGTTAGAAAAGAGACTTACCTCGTCTCAAGGCCTACTTTCCGGTCCAAGATTATGTCCAAACCCTCAATTCGGTGCCGAACAATCTAAAACTATGCAAATAGTGTGAAAACTAATCAATATAGGTTTAAAAGTTCATATCCCAACTATTAAAGAAATTTCCCAACTCTAAATGCAAGATTCCTAAAATTCATCCCCGGGCCCACATGCCCGAATTCCGGAAATTTTCTAAGAAAGTTGTTACCCATAACCTTAGGAACATAAATATATGATTTTCACTAAGTTCCATAACCATTTCGTGGTAAAATCCCATTTTTATCAAAAACCTAGATTTTCATCTAAACCTATGATTTTCACTAATTTACATATTATAATCTACTCATAAACTATGTATTAAACTCACATTAGGTAGAAATTACTTACCTCAAAAGGCTAGGTCGAAATCCCCTCCTTAAGAGCTCTCAAATCGCCCAATAGTGCAATAAATGACCCCAAAAATGCCCAAGTCCCATTTTAAAACTCATTGTCCAGCCGCCTCCTTCATCGCGATCGCGACCAAGCCCTAGTGGTCGCTATGGCTAAACTAGTGAAGCCCAGAAAAAGGCTCTACGCGATCGCGAGAAGACCCACGCGAACGCGAAGCACTAGGTCGCCTACTCTTCATGAACGCGAGGCCCTAAACGCGAATTATGAGAGTAAGGAGTATAAATTATGGATTAACTATTTAGAATCATACATAAGTAATTTAAATGAAACAGTTTGAAATAAATATATTTCATCCATTAATAAGCTAATTGGTACAACTCTTCGGAGGTTACATGATAGCTTAGTCAAGATCCAAGTTTCTCAACAAGCAAGTATACAAGGAGTAATCAGACATGGGGGGAGGGGGTGAGGGGTCCTAAATTTTATAGACTAAAGGATCATTCCGTGCAACATAAATAATACTTCCTGTAAAGGCCTGTAAAATTTCACCTAGAACCCAAGGTTTCATGATGCCGAGGTAGGTTTATGTGTTTGATGATTGTAGAAATTCTTCGCGGCTCCCAAGCTCGCCACGGTACGTACTTTTGGTTTATACAGTACGTTGGGGAGTTGAAGGAATAATTTTGTAGAACATGGTATTTCTGTGGTCCACCATGCAGCTGCAGAATCACTTCGCGGGCTGCAGATCAGCTACAGAGTGCAACAGGACTTGAGCCAATTTTGAGGACCATTATGCGGTCCACTATGCGAATGCATAATCATTTTATGAACCGCACAATTCGTCGCAGATTCAGCTGAAGAATTGGGGGGGGGGGAGGGGGACTTTTGCGGTGCGTTATGTGACCGCATAACTGGTCTGCAGACCGCAAACCTGACCCGAGCAACCTAGTTTTGGAGGGTGATTTCGGGGTCCCTTATGCGGATCACATACCTGTTCTGCGGTCCATTCTGTGATCACATAATTGAGTTCAGAGGGTCCATTTTTCTATCTTTATAAACCGACCATGTTTTAATAAATAGACTTGAGGGACGTTTTTGAAGGGGAATTCTGATATTTTAAGAGAGAGGGGAGGAACTAGAGAGAGGCAGAGGAGCTCCAACACCTTCCACTTCAATTCCTTGCACAAGCCTTAGAGAATTCACAAGGAAAGCTTGCAAAATCATTTACTAGAGAGGTAAGATTCTAGCCCTAGTCTCCAATTTCGAGTTTGGGCAGGGGTTGGGTAATGAGGAGTGTGATTCTTGGGTGTGAGGAAGTTATTTATGCATGCATGTACCATCAAGGTTGGTGGGAAGGTTGTTGAGCTCAAATGGGTAAGCATTAGGTTGTAGGATGAAGGAATCCACCATAGAAGAACCTTGAAATCATGTTGCACACCTAGTGCTTGATAGAATGCTCAAATGAGCTAAAACCCCGAGTATCTTCCTAATTGTGGTTCAAATTTGTCATGTCTCTAATAGATTGAAGTCGCTAGGATTTTCGGAACGTTGTAGTAATTTAAGGAAAGCTCAAGCGAGGTATGTTGTCTAAACTCCTCTTGTAAAAGTCGAATTCTATGATGTCCTCGTAAGTTGTGATTATGATTGGCTCAATTTCTTATTTCTCATATTCCGAGTCTTTCCTAATAAATTTGATTATTCTCTAATAAGTGTTATGTTGAAAGACGTATGTACTCAAAATATGTTTTAGATGTTCCCATCATATCATGATTCCCTCCGAGAATGTAATCTAATATGACAAATGTATTAAAGGTGTTGTGATTTAAGAATCATGTTTCAATTGCTAGTTATTATGCCAAATTGTGGAAGAAAACACAATGTGCCTAAGACTCTTATTTGCTCATATGTGTACCTAAAGTCTTGATTTGATATTCTCTTATTGTTGGTAATCCATGGTAACACTTGAAAAATATAGGGGTGAGTTTGAAATATGAAATACGGCCGACATGCGGAGAATGATATAATAATTGTGGACGCTAGTGCCAATGAAATAGAAAGATGCGTGAAATGTTGACACCAATTTTTCCCTATATATTTTCAATATGTAAAATAACTTCAAAATGGCACATATATGCATATGTAAGCATATTCAAGTGTTTTATTATTTTTTCCATAATTTTTAAGGTTTTTTAAATCAATTTATTTTCCTTTTTTATCCATAAAACCCAATAATCATTTCCAAAATTATTTTTTTGGTAATTAATCTATTGGATTTTCATCTTTATGCCAAGATATAGCTAAGGTAATTTTTACAGGTTTTTATAATTTTGTTTAGTATTTTTAAAAGCTAATTGCACATAATTGCAATATTAACCTTTTTAAGATTTAATTGTGTTTTATATTCAAATTTGCACCGGCCAACGATTTTCAGATCATTAACCATTTTTCTTCCCAGGCCCTTAATTACGCAAGTATTTGATTGTGTTGATTTTTCCGGCGAGTACTCTGGCGGGGACCCCATCTGACTTCGCACGGAAGCAATAAGAGATTTTTGACTTTACACGCACAAGCAGTAGAGCAGTAGCCATACGCCAGGTCCCGCACCATCTGGAGTATACCAAGTCGAAAGATCCAGGTTCTACTCGTGGGCATTGATCATATCAACAGTATTCAGCGGATTTGGAAGCGCGTCCCGACTGTGATCCAGGTTCTATCTTTCTTGAATTGTATTTGCGCACATCTATTTACTGTTGCCTTGCCGGCAGTTTTGATGGATTGATTGCTTTTTCTATCTTTTCTACTAGTGTTTTAAGCTTAAGGTTTCATCTATTCATTTTAATCCTGTGTTTGCATAGGGGCAGTTTCGTAGACGTGGTAGATTCATTGTTCCTGTGCCTGCTCGCGTTACTGTTCTCGTAGTCGCCCCTTTGAGCTGTTTTTAGCTCTTGGGTTCGTAGCCTGTAGTCCGCCGTCCCCATTATTGGTTCTTAGTGGTAGTGTTTACCTAATACCTTTTGTTTATAGTGGCGGTAGTGGACGATCTGAGAGTAAGGTCATGTTCTCGGGTGAGGCTGGGGGTGGGGTCCAGGGGTGGGAAGGGGGGTAAGAAAGCCTTTAGGTTGAGAATTGGGTCTTGGAACATTGGGACGTTGACGGGGAAGTCTATAGAGTTAGGTAAGATTCTTCAGAAGAGGAAGATTAACATAGCGTGTGTTCAGGAGACTAGATGGAATGGTACTAGGGCACGAGATGTAGACGGATATAAACTATGGTACTCAGGGAGCGCTGGGGGTAAGAATGGGGTAGGTATTTTAGTAGACAGTGACCTCAGGGAGCTCGTGGTTGAGGTTAATAGGGTAAATGACAGGTTGATAAGTATTAAGCTGGTAGTTGGTGGGTTTACTATAAATGTGATTAGTGCTTACGCTCCTCAGGTAGGTTTGGACCAGGAGGTTAAGAAGCAATTCTGGGAGGATTTGGACGAGATGGTGCGTAGTATCCCGCACACAGAGAAGTTGTTCATTGGCGGAGATTTCAATGGTCATATTGGGGCTAGTGCTAGGGGTTATGATGATGTGCATGGCGGGTACGGTGTTGGGGTTAGGAATGAGGGAGGTAATTCACTATTGGATTTTGCTAGAGCTTTTGATTTGGTTATAGCTAACTCGAGTTTTCCGAAGAGGGAAGAGCACCTGGTCACTTTCCGGAATTCAATGGGCAAGACTCAAATTGATTATCTTCTTTGCAGGAAGTGTGATAAAGGTTTGTGCACTAACTGCAAGGTCATCCCAAGTGAGCACCTCACGACTCTACATAGGCTCTTAGTTATGGACCTGGAGATCAAGAGGAGTAGGAGGAAGAGGGCCGAGTGCAGGCAACCTAAGATCAAGTGGGGTAGCTTGACCAAGGACAAAGATCAGGAGTTAGGGGAGAAGTTGTTGGCTATGAGGGCCTGGATGAGTAGGGGGGACGCGTCTAGTATGTGGTTCACGACTGCGAATTGCATTAGGGTAGCTGCTAGAGAGGTCCTAGGGGTCACGAAGGGCTTCCCTGGGTGTCATAAAGGGGACTGGTGGTGGAATGGAGAGGTTCAAGGTAAAGTGGAAGCTAAGAAAGCTGCTTATTTGAATCTAGTGGAGAGTACAAACGAGGAGGAAAAATGGACTTATCGGGAATGTTATAGAAAGGCAAGGAAAGAGGCGAAGTTAGCAGTTACGACGGCTAAGAACGCGGCATTTGCTCGTTTGTACGAGGAGCTTGAGGGCAAAGGCGGGGACAAGAGGTTGTACCGGTTGGCCAAGGTGAGGGAGAGGAAAGCCCGCGACTTAGACCAAGTCAAGTGCATCAAGGACGAGGATGGAAAAGTCTTGTTGGACGAGGCACTTATTAGGAGAAGATGGCAGACATACTTCCATAAACTGTTGAATGAGGAGGGGGATAGACACCTTGTGCTGGGTGAGTTGGAGCACTCCGAGAGTCGGCGGGATTTTGGGTACTCTAGGCGAATTACGATGGAGAAGGTGGAAGGGGCGATGCGTAATATGTGCAGGGGCAGAGCAACAGGGCCAGATGAAATCCCGGTGGAATTTTGGAAGAGCGCGGGGCGGGCAGGGTTGGAGTGGCTCACCGGGCTGTTTAATGTTATTTTTAAGACAAAGAAGATGCCCGAAGAATGGAGGTGGAGTACGATGGTTCCGATTTACAAGAACAAGGGTGATATCCAAATTGCAACAATTATAGGGGTATAAAGCTGTTGAGTCACACTATGAAGGTTTGAGAGGGTGGTGGAGGCTAGGGTGAGGAGGTGCGTGTCTATTTCCGAAAATTAGTTTGGATTCATGCCGGGGCATTCGACTACGGAAGCAATTCATCTGGTAAGGAGATTAGTGGAGCAGTACAGGGAAAGGAAGAAGGATTTGCATATGGTGTTTATTGACCTTGAGAAAGCCTACGATAAAGTTCCGAGGGAGGTCCCGTAGAGGTGTTTGGAGGTTAGCAGTGTTCCGGTAGCGTATATTAGTTTCATTAAGGATATGTATGATAATGCTAAGACTCGGGTGAGGACTGGGGGTGGTGACTCGGAGCATTTCCCTGTGGTGATGGGGTTGCACCAGGGATCGGCTCCTAGCCCATTTTTATTTGCCTTGACGATGGATGTATTGTCGCGTCACATCCAAGGGGAGGTGCCTTGGTGCATGCTATTTGCCGATGATATAGTGTTGATTGACGAGACGCGTCGTGGAGTTAACGCGAGGTTAGAGGTTTGGAGACAGACTTTGGAGTCTAAAGGTTTCAAACTGAGTAGAACCAAGACAGAATACTTGGAGTGCAAGTTCAGTGACGGGACCCATGATGCACACGTAGAGGTTAAGCTTGATGCTCAAGTTATCCCCAAGAGAGCGAGTTTTAAGTACCTCGGGTCTATTATCCAGGGTAACGGGGAGATTGAAGAAGATGTCGCGCATCGCATTGGAGCAGGATGGATGAAGTGGAGGCTCGCTTCCGTTATTTTGTGTGATAGGAATGTGCCGCTAAGACTTAAGGGTAATTTTTATAGAGTGGTGGTTCGACCGGCTATGCTGTATGGGGCTGAGTGTTGGCCAGTCAAGAACTCCCACGTGCATAAGATGAGAGTAGCAGAGATGAGGATGTTGAGATGGATGTGTGGGTGTACCAGGAGAGATAGGATTAGGAATGAAGATATCCGAGACAAAGAGGGAGTAGCCTCCGTGGAGGACAAGATGCGGGAGTCGAGGCTGAGATGGTTCGGCCATGTTAAGAGAAGAAGCATTGATGCTCCAGTTAGGAGGTGTGAGAGGTTGGCCATTGAGAGTTTGAGAAGAGGTCGAGGTAGGCCTAAGAAGTATTGGGGAGAGGTGATTAGGCAGGACATGATGCTGCTTCAGCTCACTGAGGACATGACCCTTGATAGGAGAGTGTGGAGGTCGAGGATTAAGGTAGAAGGTTAGTAGGTAGTTTATAGTTGCTCACCGATAGTCTTAGTAGTATGCATGTCCCTTCATATTCTTATACTTTTATTATATTATGTGGTTTTTTTCGCCTCAGGTATTGTATTCCCTGTTGCTAATATTTGGTACCACTTATCCTGTATCTTGTTTTTTTTCATTTATCTTCCATCTTTCTTCCTCCCTTGCTTTCCTTTTCTTCTTCTTCTTGCCCTTCCTGAGCCGAGGGTCTATTGGAAACAGCCTCTCTACCTGCATTAGGTAGGGGTAAGATCTGCGTACAGACTACCCTCCCCAGACCCCACTTGTTGGGACCAAACTAGGTTTGTTGTTGTTGTTGTTTAATTGTGTTTTATATTCATAAAATTAAGTCCTGTATTTTTAAATTGTTAGTTATAAGCTATAAATCATTTTAGTTTCAATTTATTCCCAGAAGTTAATTTCCTATTTTTTATAATTTTAAAAGGGGAAAATTGGCTATTTAAATTATAGCCCAATTACATTTCAATTTTAGCCTAAAACTGATCCCAAACTAAACCCAATTTCCCGGCCCAATTCCCATGCAGACCCGATCCCTAACCCAATTAAACGGCCACTATTCGCCTTTTCCATTTTAACCTTAATCGACCCCTTACCCTACCTCATTCATCACCAAACGCCGCCCTTGAATCCCCCTTCTCTCAATTCTCTCTGAAACCTCACTTGAACCCTAGCCGCCGCCATCTAATCACACCCTAATCCATCCTAATACCTTCCTAATCCATGGCCCCCTCGTGGTCATTTGAGACATGTATCAGCCTCCTATGGCTCCTGGTTGTTTGTTTCTATGGTTTCATGGCCAGACCTCGAAGGGTCTGGTCCAGTCCTAGCTCGACTTTTGTTCATGGCCTTTCTCCGGCCATCCATGACTTTTCTCTAGCCATTCATGGCCTTTCAAGGCCGATCCTTGACTTTTTCTGGTAAGGTCGTTAACTTTCAAAGTCTTTCTCACTTCTTTTGGGTTTTTTGAAACCCTAGCTCGACCTTTCAATTTTCTTTCAGATCTCTCTTAGATCTGTACTTACAATGAATTTCATAAGTGTTTTCTCGAAGGTTCTTCAACTTTTCTTTCAAAACGACTCTTCATTTTTTTCGACGATTAGGGTTTCCTTTAAGTTTATCAAAAGATCTCTTCTCTGATCTCAATATTGTTTGTGATTTTGCTATGTTTAAAACGACTTGCTCATATTGTTCTTCTATCTATTTCAGCATGTTAAAAACCCTAGTTCCTTTAGTCTTATCCGAGTTCTGAAGCTGTTTGTTTAAATGTGTACTTGTTCTTTGTTTCTGACTCTCTTTTCCTTGTTTGACTTGTTTGATTTTGAGTTCTTACCATCTTTTAAACTCGACTACTGCTGAAGCCCTAAATTTCTTAGACGTTTTTCTCACTTATTACTACTGTGAGACCTCTACCTGTTTCTGATTTCTCTTACCTAATACTATGTTCTGCTTCACTGTTTATTCTATGTGACTACTTGACCTACTTGACTACTGTGCATCGAATATTTTCCTTACTACTGAATCCTAGCTTATTTCTGCCACTACTGTATGTTTGTGTTATCTCTTTTGCCAATGTGTTTGGCCTCGCATGTCTTATGCTTCTGTTCACTCTATTTATATATTGAAGTTTCTTCCTTGATTGATCTTGATTTGGTGACTGATTGAAAAAGCGTTTTCTTTATAAACCCTAATTTCACTCGCCTATTTAAAATTAATTGATTCCTTTCCCTTTACTGTGATATTTTACCTTGCTGAATCCTTTCCCAAAATAAGCCTATTTTGTACTTAGACTTGATTGTTTACTTCATGCTTTTACTGCCCCTTATATGGAAATAATCAATCTGTCCCCAAATTGAATTCTTTCCTTAATTAAACCTGCTACTACCCGTTAAACAGTGATTCCTTAATTAAAGGGAATCACTTGTGTTAATTGATTCTGACTTGTGATTGTTTCCATGTTTGTCTTAAGACTTTACTTATTACCTTACTTATCACTCGTTTTCAAAAGCTATAAATACCCACCCCCTCTTCTTTCAAAAGACCGGAGCAACTTGAGTTCAAAACACACACTTACATTTAAAAATCTCTCTTTCTTTATTGCTACTTGTGCTGTTGCTTTGTCTAGCCGGCTGAAAGCCAAGGTTAGACTGTGGACTCTTGATTGCTTCACCTTTCTGCACTTTGCTTCTCTACTAGTATGTCCTAGTTTACTCTTTAAGTCTCAACAACAATATGTTTCTTTAAGTTGCTTCAGTCTCTCATTCATGCTCACTTCTGCCAATGTTTCTGTAGTCTATTTACATTACTAGCATGCTGAAATATGCTCCCTTCCCCTTTTAGATTAAAGTTTCCCTATGTATGTACTCTGTCAGTCGCTTGTTATATGATTTGCTGACTTATGAATCCCAAACCCCATATCCCCTCTATGTGTTTGTGTTTCTTAGGTTGGTTTGTGGGCAGGCCAGCATCATCTATTGCTGTGCATGACCAAACCTGCCCCTTTCTGGGGTCATATGCTTCATACAATATATTCCCAAAACCCCTCGACCCTTTGTGTAACTACTGATTCTGGGTAGTTTGAGCTCCACTGCTACTGTTTTTTTTCAAATCACCCTTTAATCTTACATTTCCAACTCAGTTTTAATCAATTTC